TCCGGGTTGGACGCCAAATGGCGTCCTCCCGCACATGCGCACTTCTCGCGCTTGCAGAGCCGCGCAGCGGAGTGATCTGTCACCAGCCGTGTACCTCGGACACGGCTGATGACAGATCTGAGTATCGGCCCCTTTGCCGGTACCATGTGACCTGCTGTGACCAATCAGAGCAGGTCACATGACAATTGTATACAATGGATGGCTTCATTCATGCCATCCATTGTATACTACTGTCTAGCTGTGAATGGTCACAGCTAATCACATGCACATGTCATGTGATTAGCTGTGGCCAAATCACAGCTAAGCACAAAAAAAAAAAAAAACCCTGAATGAATCAATGTCATTCAGGTAAATGCTTGCTTATAGTAATTCTTTGCTATAAGCAAATTGTGTAAAAAAAAAAAAAAAAAAAAAATACTGATCACTTCCCCAAAGTAGTACAATGTTACTATTGTAAGATTGTACTACTTTGGACATAGTGAAATATGAAAAAAAAAATCTTAAAAAAAAGAAAAAAAATGTAATAAAAAATTAAAAATAATAAAAAAAATAAAAAAATATATACCGTATTTTTCCGGCGTATAAGACGCCCCCCTACTTTTCCTGTTAAAATATAGGGTTTGGGCTATACTCGCCGTATAAGACTACCCCTCTTCCAACGCACACCAAATAAAAATTAAAAAACATCAGATTTGATTTCAATATGGTATGGTATTTCAGTATGGTATTCCAATGATGGGGTGCTATTCCTCCCACTGAGACCAATGATGGGGCACTATTCCTCCCACTGACACCAATGATGGGGCACTATTCCTTCCACTGACACCAATGATGGGACACTAGGAATTCCTCCCACTGACACCAATAATGGTGCGCCATCATTAGTGTCAGTGTGTGAGGAATAGTGTCCCATCATTCGTGTCAGTGGGAGGAATAGTGCCCCATCATTGGTGTCAGTGGGAGGAATAGTGCCCCATCATTGGTGTCAGTGGGAGGAATCGTGCCCCATCATTGGTGTCAGTGGGAGGAATAGTGCCCCATCATTGGTGTCAGTGGGAGGAATAGTGCCCCATCATTGGTGTCAGTGGGAGGAATAGTGCCCCATCATTGGTGTCAGTGGGAGGAATAGTACCCCATCATTGGTGTCAGTGGGAGGAATAGTACCCCATCATTGGTGTCAGTGGGAGGAATAGTGCCCCATCATTGGTGTCAGTGGGAGGAATAGTGCCCCCATCATGTCAGTGGGAGGAATAGTGCCCCAGTGTCAGTGCGAGAATAGTGCCCCATCATTGGTGTCAGTGGGGGAAGGAATAGTGTTCATTGGTGTCAGTGGGAGGAATAGTTCCCCATCATTAGTGTCAGAGGACGAATCCCATCATTGGGGGTCAGTGGGGGGGGGGGGAATAGTGCCTCATTGTTGGTGTCAGTGGGGGGAGGAATAGTGCCCCATCGTTGGTGTCAGTGGGAGGAATAATGCCCCATCATTAGTATCAGTGACACCAATGATGGGGCGCTATTCCTCCCACTGACACCAATGACACTTGTTGACCCCTGTTCCAGTATGGTGCTTCTGCAGCCAGCATATGTGGTTGCAGCAGCACCTCTGCACGGCACACTTACCGGCCGCTTCCTCACTCGATTTTCACGTGGCCGCTCGGCTCCGCCTCCTCGCCAATGATGGTGCGCCTTTCCTGAGCTACAGTTCTGGCGGCCAATCACCGGTGAGGAGGCGGAGCCGAGCAGCCGTGCGAAACATCGAGCGGCCGAACTGAATGAAGGAGCAGCTGCGCTCCTGGACTGGATCGTTGTGGGGACTGGGACCGGAGCCAGGTAAGAAACAGCAGCCCATGCACCCACCCCTGTACTTAGTGTCCCTTCCGTTGGAAGGGGGGGGCCCCCTAAAAAGTGCCGCCCTGACACCAAGTGTCAGCATGCCATATACCGGCGTATAAGACGACCCCCGACTTTTGAGAAGATTTTCAAGGGTTAAAAAGTCGTCTTATACGCCGGAAAATACGGTATATTTTTTTTTTTTTTCATACTGTCACCAGTCAGTGTCCCTGATCACCGCCATGCCAGTTATATGATGACGCTGTACTGCACTGGTGACAGTATGTAAAAAAAAAAAATAGTGAAAATAATTTTTTGCAGTTTTTCATTTTCCGAAAAATTATGACAAAAATAAATACAACTTCAAAAAACTTGCCATGCCTCTTATGAAGTACATTGGACTATCTACTCTGCAAAAAGGGGTAATTTTGGGGATATCTGTACTGTTCTGACATTCTTGGACCTCAACAAATTAGATTGGCTGTCAGTACTTCAGGACTGATCAATATTCAGATCTATACCATAGTTTATAAAGTCTATAACTTTCTTACAAACTAAAAAATACATCCTAATTTTTGTTATTTTCCCCAAAGACATGTAGTAGAATACATCTTGGCCTAAATTTATGAAGAACAATTATTTATTTGCAAACTTTTATAACAGAAACAAAGAAAAACGTGTTTTTTTTTTTTTTTTCAAAATTTTTGGTCTTTTTTTTGATAATTTAGCAAAAAATGAAAACCCGGCGGTGATTAAATACCACCAAAAGAAAGCTCTAGTTGTGTGAAGAAAACGATAAAACTTTAGTTTGGGTACAATGTTGTATGACCGCGCAATTGTCATTCAAAGTGTGAGAGCGCTGAAACATGAAAAATGGCCTGGGCAGGAAGGGGGGTAAAATTGCCCGGTATTCAAATGGTTAAATAAGCTTTAGCATAAAACCTGGAAGCTGATTGGTGGCTATGCAGAGCTGCACCAGATTTTGCACTCTCCAATTTTAGTAAATAACCCCAAATATGTCTCCCTCTTGCATATTTTTATTGAAACGCTCAGCAGTGGGCCATTTTTTGTTGGAGGCGGACTCCAACAAAAAATGTCTAGGAATACTATGCGCCATTACCCAATGTTTTTTAAGCACTACTTGAAGCTTGCTGAAAGCCTGCTAGCAACTTGTGTAAAGTGGCAATCAATACTTCCATTAACATCTGTGTAGAACATTTGCAAAAAGGAGGTAAGGGTACTTAAATGACCAAAAGAAAGCTGCACAAAGCTAGCTGTTCACACTGCTTTTATACAAGCTGAAGCCTGTGTGAAGCAGGCTTAAAGTGGTTGTAAACCTCAGTTATGAATTCTGAACAAAGCACATATATCTTTTGCGTTTACTTTTCTCTCTCTAAAGCTCGGAGTGTAATTTCTCTTTGGTTCTATGTTCTTCTGTTATGAGCATGTGTCACTTTTGACAAGTTATCCCCACATGAGCTGTGATGGGGAGCAGAGCTCCGCACACATCTTCTCTATTCAGAACACAGCTCTGCAACATTCATTTGTTCCTGTGCCAAGTGTGAAGAGGTGTGTGTCCTTTTTCTTCCAATCAGCTTTCACACACTGTACAAGAGCTCTAACGGCAGTTCCCTACCCGCTCCTCTGTGCTACTGACAGATGCAGAAGGATTCACAACTTTTGAAGGGATGTAGAAAACAAAGACTGCAGATAAACCTATGTAGGAGGATTTGTTTCACCTCTGTGTTGCATCTGAGGTTCACCTCACTGGGTATGAGAGGGTTTACAACCACTTTAACCCTTTCACTGCCAGGTCCGTATGCTGTACAGACCTGATAGCTCCACTGCCGCCGCCGATCACATCCACAGCCCCCGGTTGCAAGCTGAGTTCCCGCCATGTAATCGGGCCCCGCTTGCCCAATCTGTGGCCCCAGGGAGAGCCATGACAGGTGCCGGCAGGTGGAGGGAAGAGAGAGGAGAGCAGACCATCATCCGCTCCCCTCCCTTGCATGACTTGGAAAGAGACTTCACTTTTGGGTCACGGCTGTCATTTTTCTGCCTAGAATAGTAGGGAAAGATTTATTGCAATGCGGTTTGTATTGCAATATATCTAATGAAGCCCAGAGGACACTTGCAGGGTCTTTATTGCATGTCTCAATAAAGAGAACCTGTCATTAAAAAATCATCATATATGGGACTTTTTGTCCATGTGATGAAAATAAAAAAAAATAAAAAAAATTGTGAAAATGTCTACTGCAATACACACGTTACTTCCACAGGTAAGAACACATGCCCAGCCAAACACATGAGGTAAAAGAAAATGCGAGTCATCAGACCAGGCCACCTTCTTCCACTGCTCCATGGTCCTGATGCTCATGTGCCCACTGAAGGGGCTTCTGGCTGTGGACATGGGTCAGAATGGACACCCTGACCGGTCTGTGGCTATGCAGCCCCATACACAACACATTGGGATGCTCATTTTTTCTGCTTTCAACAAATCAACTTAATCAACATGATTACTTGTCGCCTTATATATCCCACTATCTTTCAGATGCCATTGTAAGGAGACAAATCCATGTTATTCACTTAACCTGCTAGTGGTCATAAAATTATGGCAGATCAGTGTAGATTGTGAAAAAAAAAAAACCTCTCTTATCCAAATCTTTATCAGTTTTATAGTTAGAAGACGACTTCTAAAAAACCTTTCATGGTAAGAAGTACGGTATTTTTCCCCCCCCAAAAAAATTGGGGGGAAATGTCTGTACGTCTTATGGAGCAGCCGGCCCAGTATTCCCCACGCCGCCGCGTTAGAATACCGGGCCAGCCGCTCAGCTCTTCTGTGCAGCAGAACCTGCTCCTCGGTCCAGCGGTGTCCTCATCATCGCTGGTTTCACCGGCCATCTTCTTTCCCTGGCACTGGCATCTTTAGTGTGGGCACCTGGCTGTACAGCTTGCGGCTCCACAGGCAGGTGCGAGAAGCGCTGTGCTTTCTGAATGGCCCCATAGTCTTCTGGGACACATAACAGGTCCCAGAAGACTACGGGGAGGGAGGACAACTTCCGCTTCCGATAGCCTAGGCGATCGCAGAGGAGGTGGGAGCGGGTACCTGTCAAATTCAGGTACCCGCTCCCCCCCCCAGGTCCCCAAAGGTACACAGTCTCTGGTCATCTCCTGTACTATGTCCGCAGTCTCTGGTCATCTCCTGTACTATGTCCGCAGTCTCTGGTCATCTCCTCTACTATGTCCGCAGTCTCTGGTCATCTCCTCTACTATGTCCGCAGTCTCTGGTCATCTCCTCTACTATGTCCGCAGTCTCTGGTCATCTCCTCTACTATGTCCGCAGTCTCTGGTCATCTCCTCTACTATGTCCGCAGTCTCTGGTCATCTCCTCTACTATGTTCGCAGTCTCTGGTCATCTCCTCTACTATGTTCGCAGTCTCTGGTCATCTCCTCTACTATGTTCGCAGTCTCTGGTCATCTCCTCTACTATGTTCGCAGTCTCTGGTCATCTCCTCTACTATGTTCGCAGTCTCTGGTCATCTCCTCTACTATGTTCGCAGTCTCTGGTCATCTCCTCTACTATGTTCGCAGTCTCTGGTCATCTCCTGTACTATGTTCGCAGTCTCTGGTCATCTCCTCTACTACGTCTGCAGTCTCTGGTCATCTCCTCTACTACGTCTGCAGTCCCTGGTCATCTCCTCGTCCGCAGTCTCTGGTCACGTCCGCAGTCTCTGGTCATCTCCTGTACTACGTCCGCAGTCTCTGGTCATCTCCTGTACTACGTCCGCAGTCTCTGGTCATCTCCTGTACTACGTCCGCAGTCTCTGGTCATCTCCTGTACTACGTCCGCAGTCTCTGGTCATCTCCTGTACTACGTCCGCAGTCTCTGGTCTTCTCCTGTACTATGTCCGCAGTCTCTGGTCTTCTCCTGTAGTATGTCCGCAGTCTCTGGTCTTCTCCTGTACTATGTCCGCAGTCTCTGGTCTTCTCCTGTACTACGTCCGCAGTCTCTGGTCTTCTCCTGTACTACGTCCGCAGTCTCTGGTCTTCTCCTGTACTACGTCTGCAGTCTCTGGTCTTCTCCTGTACTACGTCTGCAGTCTCTGGTCTTCTCCTGTACTAAGTCTGCAGTCTCTGGTCATTTCCAAGGTAGTCCAATCTCACCTAGGACACTATTTGCATGAAGTCTGCATGCTCACCCACTCTTTGATGCATTTCTTCAGGGCACTTCGGTTTCTTCCATCAATCAAGTAATGGTAGAATAACTAGCAATAACTGACACCAATTGTCAGGGCCTTTGATTTTAAGGATTGTATGGGACAGGGGCTGATGTGAAATGTACACTGTATATAGATGTAATATAAAATGTTTAATGGGAACTGTTTAGCCAATAAATGTATGCTATTACAAAAGATACCCTCGATGTACTTCTAAAAAGCAGATTTTATCTTGAATATGGAATAAAGGCCTTAGTTTTGTTACTGTACTTAAGGGTAAAAGAAAAAAAGGGCAAGATTTTATTTATATTTTTCCTTCTCAATGTCAGGGGTAGAAAAAGGTGAATATTGACAGTAGACACAGATACAAATGGCATTATTAACTGGGGTCTGCTGGAAAAAGTAAGGATCATGTAAGAGTAGGCTAGGGTACATTATGAAAAACAAAAACCAGGGCAATAAAGAACAAATCATATTTACAAACACACACACCTTTTTGTAGATATTCATTGTGAAGGAAAACACATAATATAGAGGGTTTATACAAGGTCAAAGACTGCATTACTTATACAAACTGAACTTGAGCTCAGGTCAGTTCTCATTGGATGACTATACAAATGAGACTTATTATTTACAGTCCATTTCGAGGTGCTACGGAAAGCTGCACCAGCTCTGAGACAACGAAGCACAGTGATTAACATTTCTCTAGATACTTTTTAGTAGATTATTAGCATCCTGGGGTTTCACTGGAAGAAACAAGCCTCATGTGATTATGATGTTTTCAAAAGACATAACCTCAAAGCAAAAACACATCCTATGTGATCAACTAAAAAAAAAAAACAACACATACTGTAATTGTTCACTTGAAAAAAAAAATATCTTGGAATAACTTGAAATGTACCATAAATTACCTTTTAGAAAAATTTGGCAACTCTTCCCTTTTGCCGATGATCCTGCTTACGATCATCGGTATCAATGGAAGTTGGCGCACTCTCAGAATTACAAAACCGCATGCTCTACACTTTTACAACCTGCACTCGCGCAGTGGTCAACCGTCGCAAGACTCGGCGCTGCTGCGACAGAGAAGGGTGAGCACACTACACATGCACAAGACTTGAAAGAGGGAAAGTGTTTGTTTCATGTAATCTTGGGAGTGTGCCCAGCACAAGGAATAATACTTTTCAGCCAAGGTGGACCAGGAACCACTATGGGCCTACAAGTAAGGCACCTAAATTAAATTCCAAATTTTAAAGCTACACAGTGTTTTTGAAAGTGCAGGGCTCCTTGACTGCATAGAGCGTTTTATCAAAAAGGTGAGATTAGCCTTTAACCTGAGGGAATAGATGCATTTACCTTCAAGTTTTTTACGTGCAATGTAAGGGACCATGCACACTAGCTTTAAAAAAACGCTGCTCCTTCACTTCTCTCTCACTTCATAAAACAAAAACTTATTTTCCTGTGAAAAGGTGTGCAAATTTTAGAAACTGTAAAGAAACGCAGCTTGCTATACAGATTGTTAACACCAGCAATCTTTTATGGATTACAAGTCATTCCAAGTCACATTTATTAACATTTTCTACAAAACCAACAATTAATTGCAGGAAAGCATCACCAATTTTGACATATAAGGGTCGCAATCATGAATCACAACCTTCAATCTAACGGACTACTTTGTTCAACAGAATCACTAAGAATGTAAATAACATGAAAACCTGAGATAATAAATGTTCTTTGTCTAAACACAAAATTTACAGAAAGATGAATGAACTATTAACCTAGACATTGTCTCTCAGGCTAAGCTGCCTGTTGCCTGCCAGGTTTTAAAATAGAACTTGACACATCTTTTCTATTTGGGAAAAAGGGCACACAATTATAATAGTGTATTAAGTTAAGGATGGGCAAATAATGTAGTGAATTATGGAGCCAGTCTGTCCAATTTAGGGGCCACAAAGCAGTTTAAGGAGCCAGGGAACATGGATAAATGCACACAAAAAAGTCAGTTTTTAAAGTATTCAACCTAGTGATAAACACCCACTATAATAAAATCAAATTCCTGTTACTAGAAATATTTATTAAATACAGATTTTAATCTTCTCCACAGATACCTGGTTTGCCATTTCAAATAGTTCTCTTTCCCAGAGGCACATGTAAGACTGTATCTTCCAGCTGTGCATAGGCTATGAACCACTGTCAGCATTACTTTCAAGACATGTCAGAGGTATTTTTTGTGTTGTCTTATACTAACCTAATGTGACCAAACCACAAAGGAGAAAAGTCAGTTGCTCATAGACATTAGCAGACAAATCAGGGCAAACACACTCCATGTGGTACTAACTTGCCTTGGGGGGGAAAAAAAAAAAAAAAAAAGAAGACTTGTGTACCCTGGGTAGTCAGCCAGTGGTGTCTGCTGGGTGCCTATAGACAAGAGGTCATCAACTGTAATCCTTACAGCTAGCCACAACTATTACAGATTCATTTACCAACAAATCTGCAGTCCAAGGGTCTAACAAGACTATGCATTAAAAGTAAATATAAGGGGGGCGCATGCGCGGCCGGCTCGGGGATGGACGTGCAGTAGTGTCGGCTCCGTCCACCCGCCAGCAACAACGCGGCACATACCGACTCCGGGGGATATAACCAACACATTCTGACAGCCGCAGTGTGCCCGCAGCCCACTAGACATGCCCCGCAGGAAACAGAGCTCGGGGCAACCAGGGAAGCTTACTAATTTCTTCCCGGCTGTTATGCCGGGAAACCAAGATGGCGCCCGCAATGCAGGGACACAGGGAGGCAGCAGCCCTTCTGAGGAGGACTACAGAGCCCAGAATGCAGATCCTAGGCTGCAGCAACAGCTCTATCCTGGGGATCCTGGTAAGTTGTCACCTCCCTTATCTCCCACGACCAGGAGCCCGGCCAAATCTAGGCCACGACTGGACTGTGACTCTGATAACATAATACAGGCCCCAAACCTTCCGCATCAGTTACCTCATATGACCATGCCTACCATAGACGCTTTCCCTGCGTCCGATCAACCACTCACCGAGATAAGCATGAAGAACATGCTTGCGTCCTTGCGGCAAACCCTGCACAATGATATATCTGCACCTCTTAATCAGATTACCACCCTAGTGCAGCAGCAAGACCGTAGAATTCGCCATATTGAAACCAACATGGGTGACATGGTGGCGGCACACAATGATTTGATTGATGCCCATGCGGATCATGCGTCCGATCTCGAACAAATTCAACTAAAACTAGCCGACTTGGAAGATAGATCACGCCGTAATAATATAAAAATCAGAGGGATCCCCGAAACAATTACTAATGAGACACTGCTGCCGTATCTACAACACTTCCTCAAATTACTAATACCAGCACTCTCCGAAGTAGAGACCACGATCGACCGAGCGCATCGACTTCCTAAGCCCTCATTTCTATCGGCTTCTGTACCTAGAGACGTGCTTATCCGCATACACTTCTATCATATCAAGGAGAAAATTATGTTAGCGGCTAGAAACCCGCCACCGCTCCCACAGTCTCATGCGAATCTACGCTTATACGCTGACCTATCCAAAGCCACACTCTCAAACAGGAAAAAAATGATATCAATCACTAAAGCCTTAAGAAACCATGGCATTGCCTACCAATGGGGCTTCCCCACTAAACTTCTAGTACGGAACCAAGGTAGAACCTATACTGTCAGAAGTCTGGAGGCCGGCCTCGACCTCCTTAAAGCTTGGAGCATTTTGCCCTCTGATTTGCGGGAAAACACACCCAGTTCCATTCAAAATATGGAGGCGACCTGAAGGGCGCAAAGGCACATGCTGCACCTATATTATATTACATCTTTCCCCCGGAGGCCATTTACAGGCCCTACAACTGCTGGCACTCGGCCCTAAATTCCATGTTCTCTGTTTTTCTAGTTTTCATTAGACTCGACCCCCCTGGAGGTCTAGACTTGTTCATATTCCTCCTTTTTGAAGAAGCAATCAAGGCTACAATGGTTACTTGCGTTATCTGCAAGTTTTTTTTTTTATTGTTGTTTCTTCCTCTCCCATCTTCCCTCTCTCATGGCGCCACCAAATACATACTAAGAACACACAACTTGAAATAATCTATCAAACAACAACCCAACTAGTTCTATACCTAGGAAATAGGTACAATGATCAAGATCACTTCACTTAACGTCCGAGGCCTCAACTCTCCCTTCAAGAGATCGATGCTATCTAGAGAAATTTGGAAATCTCGAACTGACTTACTCTTTATACAAGAGTCCCACTTTACTACGGAAAAGACCCCTAAACTTTATCTTCACAGCTTCTCTCAACTATATATGGCAAATAATACTAAGAAGAAAAACGGAGTAATTATTGCCATTAATGACTCTCTAACATTTACTTACACCTCTTCTATAGTCGACCCACAAGGGAGATATATTATATTGTTATGCCAAATCAACGACATTACCTATACCCTGGTGAATGTATACGGTCCAAACAGCAAGCAACTAAGATTTTTTCGCAAACTCTTCAACCTCATCTCCAAGCACAAACAGGGGAGACTCATTATTGGGGGGGGACCTTAACGTTCTCAATAATTCTCATATGGACTCATCCTCCAACAAAAAAACTGCCAGCCTTGACCTCAACCACGTTTTACATGACTACGACCTATACGACATCTGGAGATGCCAGCATGGCTCTGAAAGAGACTACACATATTTTTCACCACCACACCTTTCG